GAGCGACGGCGCACCCGCCTCGGGGACCGGCGGCCGCGGCCGCGGCGGGAGTGGCGGCTCCGCAGGCGCGCCGGCAGACTCCCCTGCCGGCGCCGGGGCCGCAGGCGCCAGCGACGCGCTCACGGTTGCCTCGTACGACGGCGGAGCGTCCATCGCACGCGCGTCAATCGGCACGCTCGAGCGCGGCCGGGCGGGGTCGGGGGCTTCGGCCGATGTGGAGCGGTCGTGGGCCGCGACGATGACGATGGACGAGCTTGAGGTGCCGTCGCCGGCGGATTTCCATGTGCACCTGCGGCAGGGCGCGATGCGGGAGCTTGTAGCGCCGCATGTGGCGCTGGGCGGGATGGACCTGGCGTATGTGATGCCGAATCTCGTGCCGCCGATCCAGTCGAGTGACGAGGCGGTCGAGTATGTGCGCGCGCTCGAGGCGCTCGCGCCGACCACGCGCTTCCTGGGCACCATGTACCTCTCGCCGCAGCTGACGCCGGAGGAGATCCGCCGCGCGGCGGCGGCCGGCGTGCGTGGCGTGAAGAGCTACCCCCGTGGCGTCACGACGAACAGCGATGGCGGCATCGAAGACTACGAGCGGTACTACCCCGTGTTTGCCGCGATGGAGGAGACGAACATGGTGCTCAACCTGCACGGCGAGGTGCCGAGCGATGCCGAGAAGGGCATCTGCGTGCTGAACGCGGAGCCGCGCTTCCTCACGCACCTGGAGAAGATCCACGCCCGGTTCCCGCGCCTGCGCATCGTGCTGGAGCATGCGACGACGCGCGCCGCCGTCGAGTGTGTCAAGCGCTGCGGCGAGACGGTCGCCTGCACGATCACGCCGCACCACCTCCAGCTCATCGTCGACGACTGGGCCGGCAAGCCGCTGCACTTCTGCAAGCCCGTCGCCAAGACGCCCGACGACCGCGCGGCGCTGCGCGATGTGATCCGCGAGGGGCACCCGCGCTTCTTCCTCGGCTCCGACTCGGCGCCGCACCCCCTCGCGTCCAAGTACCCGTCGCCCGCGAGCCGCGACGGCTCGACGGCGGCGCTCGCGCGTAACTGCGGGTGTGCTGCCGGCGTGTACACGCAGGCCGTGCTCCTGCCGCTGTGTGCGACGCTGCTCGAGTCGTTCGGCGCCCTCGACAAGCTCGCCGCGTACGTGAGCGAGAACGGCCGCCGCTTCTACCAGGAGCCCGCGGCGCCCGGCCGCGTCGTCAAGCTGCGCCGCACGACGGACGCGGACGCCGCCGTGCCGGCGGCCTACGTACACCCCGCGTCCCAGGGCCTCGACGATACGGATCCCGCCAAGCTGCAGGTCGTGCCGTTCATGGCCGGCGAGCGCCTCGCGTGGCGCATCGAGCCGTAGCCCTCGCCATGCCCGCCCTGGGTCCGTAGCCCTCGCCATAGCCGGCGCCCGCCCTGGATCGCGGCACGTGCCAGACAAAGAGCCAGGTGGAGCGCTCAAAGCGCGGCGCTGCGCGGCGCCGCGGCCCTCATGACCCCCGCCGCTGCTGCGCCTGCGGCACCGCGCGCCCCGTGGTTCTTTGCGGCGCGCCCTGTGACATTTCCACGCAGCCTTGCGCGGCCTGTGGGCCAAGTCGCCTGCACCGCATGCGCACTGGGCGTGCTGGCCGGCGTGTGCGCCCCCCGCGCGCTCGCCCTGCTCGGCCCGCTGCCGGCGGTGCCGGGCCTCAGCGCGCCGCCCCTGCATGCGTACCTGGTGTTCTGGGCGCTCTTCCACATGCTCGAGTTCGTCGTGACCGCGTACTGGAACGAGACGCACCTGCAGTCGGACTGTACGTGCGCCGCACTCACGCAGCCTTCCTCCTGCAGAACGGCGCCGAGTACCTGGCCGCACACGCGCTCGGCGTGTGCGAGTTTGTGCTCGAGTCGCACTGGGCCCCCGCGTGGAAGGGCCACGCGGGCCTGCACGTGCTGGGCGTCGCGCTGCTCGTCTACGGGCAGGTCCTGCGCACGCTCGCGATGGTGCATGCGTCTACGAACTTTACTCATGCGCTCGCACACACCAAGGCGGACGGCCATGTGCTGGTCACGACCGGCGTGTACGCGTTCGCGCGGCACCCGTCGTACGCGGGCTTTTTCTGGTGGGCCGTCGGCACGCAGGTCCTGCTGGGCAACCCCGTGGCCCTCGTCATGTTTATCGTGGCGCTCACGCGCTTCTTCGCGGACCGCATCCGCGTCGAGGAGGCCGCCCTGTGCGCGTTCTTCGGCGACGCCTACCGCGCCTACCGCGCCCGCGTCCGCGCCGGCGTGCCGCTCGTAGTCACGTGATGTAGTGTTGGCGGCGCGCGGCGCGGCGGGCGAGCTGCGGCCGCCCATGACGGACTCGTCGATCCAGGTGGTGGTGCGGATTCGCCCCCTGAATGCGAGGGAGATCGCCCTGCTGCCCCGGGTCGATACGTCGACGGCGTTCCAGGGCGACGGCGGCCTGGCGCCGTCGCCGACGAAGAGCCAGGGCGCGCTGGCCGCGATGCGGAGCCACTACATCCGGAACATCCTCGCGCCGGTGGACGACCGCGTGCTGGTGTTTGACCCGGTGGACCCCGAGAGCGCGCGTGCGCCGTCGCACATGAGCTTCCACGGGAACGGCCGCCGCCCGCGCGACGTGCGCTATGCGTTTGACCGCGTGTATGCACCGGCTGCGCGGCAGCGCGACGTGTACAGCGGCACGGTCGAGCCGATGCTCGCGGGCCTGCTCGACGGCTACAATGCGAGCGTGTTTGCGTACGGGGTACGTGCGGTCGACTGACGCAGGCGACGGGGTGCGGCAAGACGCACACGATCAGCGGCACGAGCGAGGACCCCGGCCTGATCTTCCTCACGATGCAGGGGCTGTACGCGCGCATCGAGGCGGAGCGCGGCGAGTACGAGACGGACGTGCGCCTGTCGTACCTCGAGATCTACAACGAGACCATCCGCGACCTGCTCTCGCCGGAGCCGACGCCGCCGGGGCCCGGCCTCGCGCTGCGCGAGGACGCCGCCCGCAAGATCTCCGTCGTCGGCATCACCGAGCACACGCCTGCGTCGCCAGAGCAGGTGCTCGAGATGATCACGGAGGGCAACCAGCGGCGCACGCAGAGCCCCACGGAGGCCAACGCCGCCAGCAGCCGCAGCCACGCCGTGCTGCAGATCAACGTGACGCGCCGGCCCCGCACGGCCGGCACGGTTGAGGAGCGGTGCAGCGCGTCGCTCAACGTCATCGACCTCGCCGGCTCCGAGCGCGCATCGGCCACGAGCAACCACGGCCTGCGCATGAAGGAGGGCGCCAACATCAACCGCTCGCTGCTCGCGCTCGGCAGCTGCATCAACGCCCTGTGCCAGACGGGCGGCGCACGCAACGTGCGCGGCCGGCACATCCCCTACCGCAACAGCAAGCTCACGCGCCTGCTCAAGTTCTCGCTCGGCGGCAACTGCAAGACGGTGATGATCGCCTGCGTCAGCCCCTCGAGCGCACACTACGACGAGACGCACAACACGCTCAAGTATGCGAACCAGGCGAAGAACATCCAGACCAAGGTCTCGCGCAACCTGCTGCACATTGACCGGCACGTCGCGCAGTACGTCCAGGCCATTGCGCAGCTGCGCGCCGAGGTCACCGAGCTCAAGGAC